TCCTTGTAAGCAAGTAACAAAGACTGTCTTCTGCCTGTGGAAGGTACAGAAAGTAGGGTCTCCATTTAGACAAACAGGGTCACACATCCACCTGTGGGTGCTATGGCTACAGGTTGCCACCAGCAGGACAGGCCTCCCACCTCCAGCAGTACTGGGGTCCCATGCAGTCTGCCTAGCAGGAAGATATCATGGAGTTTGTCCACAGAGCATGGGTACTGGCTGCTAGATGACTGAGTTCTGCAAAAGGCTTTCCTGACTGGCACGCTGAGGAAATGTGGGGCTCACCAGCGGCCAGCAGCATGCTGCTGCTCTTCCTGCATTCAGTGCTCTCCTTACCTGGAAAACAATGCAAGAGATCATGTTTATTGAGTTCTTACAATGAGCTGGGGTCTGTATTAAGTGCTTGCCATGCTTTATCTTTGCGGTCTCCTCTGAAAGGGTTGGGCGTTAGTGTTTCAAACCCACCAGCCTCTCCTCAGGGAAAGATGAGGCTTTCCAATCCGGTAAAGATTTATAGCCTCAGAACCCCTACACAGGACTGCAATGCATCAGAATCAACTCAATGGCAGGGGGTTTGGTTTGGTTTTCCTATGAGGTAGACATAATGGCTTCCCACACTTTATAGATGAGGAAACTGGGGCCCAGGTAAATAACTACCCAAGGGCACAGAGATTGAAAATGGCAGAGCTGCACTTGAACCCAGGCAGCCTGACCCAGGACCTGCCCTACCCCTGGAGAGCAGGCTCTCCCTCTACTAGGAAGGCTGGGATGCGGCTCAGAACCAGTGGAAAGAGCTTGGTGGGGCTCAGGCATTGTTTATGGCTGTCCTCCGGTGCCTCCCTGTCAGAGGCAGCAGTAGAGAGGACAGGGGAGGGAACACAGGCATGGCACAGGAAGACTCCTACCCCCACCCCATGCATTACCAAGCTGAAGCAGCCCCCTGCTCCCAGCAGCAGACCCCCACCCAAGGGACATACACACACATCCCTTCAGAAAACTCCATCCCTCACTTGCTATGCATCAGACATTGCTCTGGGCACAGAAGTGAGGACAGAACAGGGCAGTGGGCCATGCCCTTGGGCGTGCATATTGATGGAACAGCAGGATGACAGGTTGGGTCAGATGAACATTAAAGGGCACACTCAGGCTCTGTGCCCCAAACCCACTAGTGCCCAGCAGGGCAGATGCGCTTGCCTCTCTCTGATGAAACAGCTGTGTTGAAATATGCTCTGCATACCATACAACCATTTAATGGGTACACCTCAGTGGTTTGTAGTATTTTCAGAGTTGTGCAGCCATCACTGCAATCTAGTTCTGGAATATTTTCATCATCCCCAAAGAAACCTCATACCCCATTAGCAGTCATCTCTCATCTCCTTCCAACACCCCAGACCCTGGTAACCATGAACTTACTTTCTGTCATTATAGATTAGTCTGGTCTGGACATTTCACACAAATGGAATCCTACGATATGTGGTCTTTTTCATCTGCCTTTTTCCATTTAGTAGAATGTTTTCAAGGTTCTTCCATGTTATTGCGTGCCTTAGTACTTCAGTCCTTTTTAAG